TTTTAAGATGTGCCATTGTCACTAATGTGAGGTGGTATCTTACTGTGCTTTTAATTTGCACCTCCCTTATTACAAGTGATGTTGAATATTTTTCATATGCTTGTTGACCATCTTGCATTTCTTCTTTTTAGCTTGGCAGAAGAGATATTTTAAGAATGATCCAAATATATACAATTTAATAATGATTCACTTTAAGTATAAGGACATAAACATTTTGAAAGTGGGAACATATAAAAAGACATTCCTTGCAAATAGTGAGCAAAATAAAGCTGGGGTTCATTTCAGACAAAATAGACTTTAAGTGAAAAGTGTTAAAAGGTACCAAGAACATTATATATTGAAAAAAGTATTAATTCAAAAAGAATATATAAAATTATGAACATATATAGAGAGAAAAACAAGGCCCCATAATATGAAGCAGCAATTGGCAAAATTAAAGGGCAAAATAGTTCTAAAGTAATACTTGGAGACTTCAATATACCAATTTCAATAATGAAACATGTAAATTGACATGTTTCAGCATTTTGAAACAGCATTTTGAACAACTCTATCCCATCCCTGCACAGACATATTTTAAAGGATCCACAATCAAAAATAAACATTCTTTCCAAGTACACATGGAACATTCTCCAGACTGTGTTAGACCACCAAGCAAATATCAGTTAGCTTATAATAATTGAAATCATATAAATTGTATTTTAACATTAATTGGCAAAATCACAAATATGTGGAAATTAAACCACAAACTGCCAATAGGAGAAAAAAGAAATTATGATAGAAGTCAGAAAACAGATACTAATAAAAGTGATAAAACTATGTATCAAGGTTTGTGGAGTACAGGGAAGATAGTGTTTTAAATGAAATTTAAAGTTACATATTTGTAAAACCTCTATACATATATATGTAGATTTATACACAATAGATTTATACATATATGTTAAGAAAATATATTTTTATATCTTATTCCCTTATGATGAATCTTTATGAAACTCAAAGAAAATTAAAAAGAGTAAACTAAACCCAAGCCAGTACACCAAGGAAATAATAGAGAATAAAAAAATAAAAGAGAAAATAAAAAAGAATTTGGTGTATTGAAAAGACCAGCAAAATTGTAAGATGTTTGATAGGTTGACAAAAGGAGAGAGAAGACACAAAAAGCTAAAATCATTTATAAAAATGGGGGAACAACTATAGACTTTAAAAAATAAAACTGGTTACAAGGGAATATGATGGACAATTATATGTCAATAAATTGTGTAATAAATATATGTTGGATCGCTTATCAGGGAAAATGCAAATGAAAACTACAATGAGATACCACTGTACACTAGTGAGAATTACACACATTAAAAAAAAACAAGCAACAACAAAGGTTGGTGAAGATGAGGAGAAAAAGGAACTCTCTGCACTGCTGGTAGGAATGCAAACTAGAACAACCACTATGGAAAACTGTTTGGAGGTTCCTCAAACTGCTAAACACTGAGCTTCCCTACAACCCAGCAATCCCACTCCGAGGTATCTACCGAAAATACACAAAAACACTGATTGAAAAAGATACCTGCACCCCCATGTTTATTGCTGTTTTATTTACAATTGGAAAGACATGGAAACAGCCCAAACGCCCAAAAATGGATGACGGGATTAAAAAGATGTGGTACATATACACAATGAAATATTACTCAGCAACCAAAAAAGATAAACACATGCCTTTTGCAGCAAGATGGATGGAGCTGGAGGGGTTCATGCTTAGTGAAATAAGCCAGAAAGAAAAGGAAAAATACCAGATAGTTTCACTCGTAGCAGGAGTATAACGGACCAGGTGAGAAAATAAAAATAATAATGAACAACTATATACCAGAGACATTTTACGGGGGGATAGAGTGGGGAATGGGATCAAAAACAGTGAGGGGAGGGAAGTGCAGCTATATCTTTTTATAGTTATTAGCAATTTATGCTTAATGAATCCCATTTTTCTGTGTCCTTACCAGAGTTGTTATTATTCAAAAATAAGTTGTAGTTGTTTCAACAGATATGTAGCAATACTTCATTTTCATTTTATGTTGTATTTTCCTCATCGCCAGTGATATTATATGTATATAAATCACCTTATATACGTGAACATAATCATCTGTATATACTCTTTAGTTGCTATTGAGAAGCCATAAACAATGCCTATTTATGCATTTCACCATTTTTCATGTTAGAGATCTTCATTTTAACTTTTGAGGGTGCTTTAAAAATTATATCCAAGGGCCCTCCCTAGTGGCACAGTGGATTAAAGCACACTGAGAAGCTAAAGCCACTTCAGCATGAATTTGATCCCTAGCCCTGGAGGTGATCCACATGGCACAGCAGACATCTCCTGACCTGCCAGCAGCTCCCCTCAGCAGTATACTTCATCGGTGGGTCTGTTCTGCAACATACTCTATCTCTGGTGAATCCTCTCACCGCCCCTGCACCTCTGGCCTGTACCCTAGTTTTGTATGCACAAATAAATAAATCGTTTAAAAAAATTATAACCAAAATATGCAGCAATACTGCTCCTGTCCCTGCAACCAAAAAATGTGGGAAGAAAGAAAAACTGCCCTTATCTGTGGGATATTGAAGAACAAGGCATCTTTCAACTCTTTCAC